CGGCCTTAGCCAACCATGGGGCTATTGTGTCAAAGACAGTGGATACAAAAATTCTAAGCCATTTTATTTAGAGATTAATAAATTAGAATTAAAAGGACTCCTTGGCATTGGGTTTTAATTAAGTAGTCATAAAATTTCTGAGTCAATTAAAAATTATTTTATTTCATTGAAAACAGCTTGCAATAGATGCATTAAAAATAGATATAGATATGTTGTTGTTTTTTATCCCACTTTGGCTAGCTGCCCACGAGCCCATACGTACCAAGATTGAAGGAAGATAGCAGCTTCTGTTGTGATGGAGCACCCTGTAGGTAGAAGTCTGATTTTGGCTCCGTGACGCTCTTACAGAGATGGGAGACCGGGACCTACGGCTTAAAGTGGATTCCGGAACCACTGCAAACATCCATGGCAACTGCCGGCATTCGAACCCGAACCTGTGGCACCGAGCGCTAGAAACTCGCCATTCAGGTCCCAAATTTGTGAATGCCAACGGCACGCGTTTTTCCCATGTGGTCACCCCACCCAAGTACTGACCGCGCCCAATGATGCTTGACTTCGGGTGATCTAACGAGAACCGCTATATTCAGCATGGCATGGCCGTTGGCAATAGATACGAAAGATATTAATGCAATAGATACGAAAGATATTAATGCAATAGATACGAAAGATATTAATGCAATAGATATAAAACAAAATTTATTAGTTCAAAAATATAAAAATTTACCTCTATAACAATAAGTTTTATTGAATAGTATATTACTTTGCCAAATGGGTTTTTTTTTTTTAGCGTATAAGAAAACTTACTTAGCATTTGGCTAATAAGAAAACTCAATTCGCCAGTCATCTTGGGTATAATACTTCAAGGTTTTGTTTTCAATTATGAAATAACTACATTATCCCCGGCCATTTCATCTTTTTACTTCTCCTCTGAGTTTGGTTAAGAATGCTGAAGCGGTCTTTCCTGAGCCGTACTTTACTTTTTTTTACTTCTACAAATGAAATCATAATAATAACGCTTCTACAAAAAGAAAGAAGAATTTGTACTTAAATATTAAAATATATTAATAAATTGATGGCCGACTGAGTACCACTATAGCAGCAACACGGATGCGTGCTCTTGCGATGCCATGAATGTTTGTAATGATTCGGAATCCACCTTATTCGGTCCCGATCTAATATGAACGTAAAGCTTTGGGTGTAGGCTGACAATCCAACCCCGTAAAGAAGAAATATATCTCCTGCCCCAAAATCTGCCAGTAAGCAGAAGGCCTTAGCGCACCATGGGGCTGTTGAGCAAATGAAGAAGAAGTACTAATAAATAACCACAAATCCCCATTTTATTTAGAAATTAATATAATTAAGTAACAAAGAACTTTAGAATTGTTTTAATTAAGTACAATGTAAAGTTTCTTAAACAATTTAAATTGTTTTTAATATTTAATTGAAAAATTAGGGATAGCAATAGATATCACTTTGAACGGAAAAAAAATTTATCAGGATCAAAAATATACTCTACAAAAATAAGATATACTAAATATTATATCACTTTGCCATAAGGCCTTTTTTTTATTTTTAGCGCATTTTGCTTTCTGTATCTAATAATAAGATAACTCAATCCACCAATCATCTTGGGTTTTGTTTTCAAACATCAAGTTATTACAATATCCCCGGCCATTTCATCTTCACTTCTAGCTCTCTGAGTTTGGTTAAGAGCTCTGAAGCGGTCTTCACCCTGAGCAATGCTCAATTCTTTTTACTTCTACAAATGAAATCATGATAATAATACCCTTGTGAGAAGCGCCATCTGGTTCTTGGATAGCTGAGCGAAACGGGTTGTCCTGGAACTTCTTATCTTGCAAGAGAATCCTGTAACATCTGTTTTTCCTGTTTGGTACACACTCCGCCGGAATTGTGAAGGATGGTATTGGGACAAGAACAGCTAAGACACGTGTACGGAACACAAATAAAAAATCACGGCACAGATTATATTCTGAAACCTTAGGAAATTGGATGTATTAATGTCTCAGATCGCATTGTTGATGGAGGAAAAGAACTAAGGGGTATTTTTTTGTTGATATTGAACATGAAAAAAAGTATGTATATAATCGACGGAGAATAAGATCTTTTTGCTGTTGTTATACATAAAATGGCCAAACTCTCTGTGCCAAATGTAAAGAGGGTATAGCATGATTATGCATAATATATAAAATTTGATATAATATATGCATTCGTTCCAGAGTGTTAAGAATATTCTTTAATCTTCAAGAATAAAGCAAGATTCTTAATAGTAATCTGTAAGAATATTCTTAAGAATTTTTTTTAATCTTTGAAAAGGAAAGATTAATTTAAATGAAGAATTAATATTTAAATATTAAAATATATATTATGGGGGACCTGATGGCAGAGTGACAAGCGAACTGACAATAGGAATGCCATTGAGGTCAGTCCAGCAGGTGTCATGAGCGTTTGTAGTGGTTCGAATCCGCTTAAACAGTAGGTCCCCGTTTAATATGACTGTTGGAATTTTTGTAGGGTTGACAAACCTACTTCTTAAAAAAAAAAAGAAATCTCCATTCCCAAAATCTGCCAGCAGGCAAATGACCTTAGACCACCATGGGACTATTGCATCAATAAAAAAGATGCAGTAGATATTAACAAATTTCCATTTTATTCAGGAGTTAATTTAAATTATTTAAAAAAATGTGATTGCAATAGATAACATCTTTTCAAAAACGAAACAAAATTTATTAGATAAAAAATAACCTATAAGGTAAGTTTTACTAAATATTATATTACTTCTTCCATCGGGACTTTTTATTTTTAGCGCATATGCTTTCTGTATCTAATAAGAAAAACTCAATTCGCCAGTCATCTCGGGTTTTGTTTTCAAACATGAAGTAACTACATTATCCCCGGCCATTTCATCTTTTTCTACTCTGAGCTTCTGCTAAGAGCCTCTAGCGGAAGTCTTTTCTCCTCTCCAACCCCTGAGCCGTATCGCTTAGATCTGCAATGAATCATGATAATAATACCCTGCGGTAGCGTCACCCGGTTCTTGGATTGCTTGGAGAAACTTTATTCTTTATCTTGCAAGAGAATCCCCCAACATCTGTTTTGTTGTTTGGTACACACCTGCTGGAATTGTGGAAGGATGGTTTTGGACAAGAACAGCTTAACACACGCTCCATGGAAATAGAAATAATGTAAATCAAGGCAGAGATTATATTCTGAAACCTTTGAAGATGAGATAGATAATGTCTTCTGATCACATTGTTGATGGGCGAAAGGAACCGAGGGTATATTTTGTTGATATTTAACCGGAAGAAATTATAAGTAATGGCGGGTGAGAATAAATTACGTTGCTGTTATACATAAACGAATCTTTCTGTGCGCATGTAAATTGAAAGATGGTGGCGATTATTCATAACATATAACATTTGGATATAAATGGCGGCGTGTTCGCCTCTAGATGGTAAGTTTTCAAACATTAAAAGGAAAGATTATTTTCAATAAAAAGAAATTTAAACAGTTGAATTACTTTTAAATATTAAATATATTATGGGGGTCTGATGGCCGACTGACTAGCACTATAAAGCGTCGTGGGTGCCATAGGTTTCGATACGAGTCCTGCATTGCCATGAATGTTTGCAATGATTCGAATTCGGTCCCGATCTAATATGGTTCTTGGGTAGGCTGATAACTCTACTCCCGTAAAAAGAACATTTCCTGCCTCGAAATCTGCCAGTAAACAGACGCCTTAGCCCACCACAGGGTTGTTGAAATGAAGAAGAAGAAGTAATAAATAACAACAAATCCCCACTTTATTTAAGAAATTAATATAATTACGAATAAAAAGAACATTGGCATTGATTTAATTAAGAACACATAAGTTTCTGAATCAATTTAAATTATTTTTAATATTTAATTGAAAAATAGGGTTGTAATAAATAACATCTCTTTGAAAATGAACAAAAGTTATTAGATCAAAAAATATACCTCTATAACAACGTCGGGCTATTTTTAGCTCATATGCTTTCTGTATGTAATAAGAAAACTCAATTCTCAGCCATCTCGGTTTTGTTTTCAAACATGGAAGTAACTACATTATCCTCGCCATTTCATCTTTTTGCTTCTACTCCCTGAGTTTGGTTAAAACGCCGAAGCGATCTTTTCTATGCTCTTCCCCCTGAGCCGTATCGCTTCTTTTACTTCTACAAATGAAATCATGATGATAACACCCCTCGCGAGAAGCGTCATCTGGTTCTCGGATTGCTTGGAGAAAACTTTCTACTTTATCTTGCAAAGAGAATCCCCGGTAACATCTGTTTTCTTGTTTGGTACACACTCCGTCGGAATTGTGAGGAGGATGGTACTCTGACAAAAGAAGAGCTTAAGATAAAAGCACGGAACAGAAATAAGAAATCATGGCACAGATTATATTCTGGAAACCTTGGGAAATTGGATGCATAACGCCTTTGATCTCATTGTTGATGTACATAAAAATACTAGAGGTATTTTTTTTTGTTGATATTTAACAAGAAAAATTATGTAAATGAGTGCAGAGAATAAGTTCTCGTTGCTGTTAGACATAAAAAGGCCAATCACTCTGTGCTTATGTAAATTAAGGAGGAGGGTATTGTAATACGTTACATATAAAATTTGATATACTATGCGCATTCGTTCTACGAAGTAAGTATTCAAAGATTGAAAGGAAAGTTTAGTTTCAAATAAAGAAATTTAAATGAAGAATTAATATTTAAATGTTAATTATATTAATAGTGCCTGATAGCATCGGTGCCGCAGATTTCGGATACGAGTCCTTGCGGAGTCATGAACATTTGTAATGATTCGGAATCCACCTTATTCGGTCCCGATAGTAAGATCGATTTTAGTGCATTTATTTTTCCTGTATCTAATAAGAAAACTTAATTCTTATTAAACTCTTAACTTACTTAAATTCTTATTAAATTCTTATTAAATAAAAAAACTTAATTCTAGCCAACGGCCATACCATGCTGAATATACCGGTTCTCGTTAGATCACCGAAGTCAAGCATCATTGGGCGCGGTCAGTACTTCGGTGGGTGACCAACTGGGAACACCGCGTGCCGTTGGCATTCACAAATTTGGGACCTGAATGGTCGAGTGTCTACCGCTCTGGTGCTCGGTGCCACAGGTTTCGTATTCGAATCCCGGCGGTGCCAGGGACGTTTATAGTGGTTCGGAATCCACTTTAAGCCGTAGGTCCTGGTCTCCTTTGACTGTAAGAGCGTCACGGAGACAAAGTCAGACTTCTACCTACGGCGTGCTCCATCACAACAGAAGCTGCTTCCTTCCCCTTCAATCATGAGTACGTATGGGCTCGTGGGCTTGGCCAACCAAGTGGGAGAAGAAACAACAACAACAAACAAACTTAATTCTCCAGTCATCTTGTTTTTTTTCCTCAAACATGAAGTAACTACATTATCCCCGGCCATTTCATCTCCACTTCTACTCTCTGAGTTTGGTTAAGAGCTCTGAAGCGGTCTTTTCTATCTTCTTCCCTTGAGCCGTATGGCTTCTTTTACTTCTACGAATGAAATCAAGATAATAATACCCTTGTGAGAAGCGTCATCTGGTTCTTGGATTGCTTGGAGAAAACTTGCTTCTTTATCTTGCAAGAGAATCCCCGCGACATCTGTTTTCCCGTTTGGTACACACTCTGCTGGAATTGTCAATAATGGTATTGGGATAAAAAAGAGCTGAAGACACGTGTACAGAACAGAAATAAGAAATCATGGCACAGATTATATTCTTTGAAAATGAGATAGATAATGTCTTGGATCAAATTGTTGATGTATGAAAGGAAGTAAGGGGCATTTTTTGTTGATATTTAACAGGAAGAAATTATGTAAATAAGAGGGTGAGAATAAATTATCTTTGCTGTTATACATAAAACGAATCTTTCTGTGCTTATGTAAATTAGAGAGATGGTATGATTATACATAACATATAACATTTGATATAATATGCGTGTTCGTTCTAGAAGATAAGTATTCAAAGATTAAAAGGAAAGATGTTTCCAATAAAGAAATTTAAGTGAAGAATTAATATTTAAATATTAAATATATTAATAGTGCCTGATGGCCGACTGACTAGCACTATAGCAACGGTGCACAGATTTCGGATACGAGGTCTTGCGGTGCCATGGATATTTGCAATGATTCGGAATCCACCTTATTTGGTCCCGATCTAATATGGTTGTAGTGTAGGTAATAATATGGCATTCTAATATGGCGTTGGGTGTAGGCTGACAATCCTACCCCGTAAAGAAGAAACATCCCCTGCTTCGAAATCTACCAGTAAGCAGACAACCTCAGCCCATCATGGGGCTGTTGAGTCCACGAAGAAGAAGAAAAAGTTATAGATAATAACAAATTACCACTTTATTTAGGAAATTAATGTAATTAGGAATAAAAGGGTATTGTCATTGTTTGAGTTTAGTACCCATAAAATTTTTGAGACAATTTAAATTATTTCAAATACTTAATTGAAAAATACGGTTGCAATCTCATTGAAACGAAGACAAATTTATCAGTTCATAACTATACCTCTCTAACAATAATCTTTACTAAATATTATATTATTTTGCCATCGGGCCATTTTTATTTTTAGCGCATTTATTTTCCTGTATCTAATAAGAAAACCCAATTCGCCAGCCATCTTGTGTTTTGTTTTCAAACATGGAGTAACTACATTATCCCCGGCCATTTCATCTTTGCTTCTACTCCCTGAGTTTGGTTAAGAGATCAGAAGCCGTCTTTTCTAGGCTCTTCCCTCTGAGCTGTATCGCTTCTTTTACTTCTGCAAATGAAATCATGATGATAATAACCTTGTGAGAAGCGTCATCTGGTTCTTGGATTGCTTGGAGAAAACTTTCTTCTTTATCTTGCAAGAGAATCCCCTGCAACATCTGTTTTCCTGTTTGGTACACACTCCGCTGGAATTGTGAAGGATGGTATTGGGACAAGAACAGCTTAAGACACGCCTACGGAACAGAAATAATAAATCAAGGCAGAGATTATATTCTGGAAACCTTAGAAAATTGGATATATAATGTCTTGGAATTCATTGTTGATGAATGAAAAGAACTAAGGGCCATTTTTTGTTGATATTTAACCGGAAGAAATTATATAATTAAGTGGGTGAGAATAAATTATCGTTGCTGTTATACATAAAACGAATCTTTCTGTGCGCATGTAAATTGGAAAGATGGTATGATTATTCATAACATATAACAATTGATATAATATGCGTGTTCACTCTAGATGGTAAGTTTTCAAACATTAAAAGGAAAGATTATTTTCAATAAAGAAATTTAAATGAAGAATTAATTTTTAAATATTAAATCTATTATGGGGGCCTGATGGCCGACTGACTAGCACTATAGCGTCGGTGCCATAGGTTTCGGATACCAGTCCTTGCGGTGGCATGAAAGTTTGTAATTATTCGGAATTCGGTCCCGATCTAATATGGTTGTAGAACCTTGGGTATAGGCTGATAACCCTAACCCGTAAAAAAGAAACATTTCCTGCCCCGAAATCTGCCAGTAAGGAGACGGCCTTAGCCCACCACGGGGTTGCTGGGCCAATGAAGAAGAAGAAGTAATAAATAACAACAAATCCCTACTTTATTTAGGAAATTAATATAATTACGAATAAAAGAATTGATTGATTGGCATTGATTTAATTAAGTACACATATTCTGGAAACCTTAGAAAATTGGATGTATAACGTTTTAGACCTCATTGTTGATGGATGAAAAGAACTAAGAGGTATTTTTTGGTGATATTTAAATTATGTAAATGTACGGGGAAGAATAAATAAATATAAAAAGGCGAATCTCTTAGTGCGTATGTAAATTCGAAAGAGGGTATAATTATACATAACATATAAAATTGGATATAATATGCGTGTTTGTTCTAGAAAGTAAGTATTGGGACCTAGTCACTCGGCCCTCAGACACCACATTACACGTTCATACACAGTTATGTTAAAAGCAATATGAACATGGAAAGCAGAATCAGAATTTTCAGTTCATCATAAAGGAATAAAATTACCTCGGAATTTCATATTTGTCCACTGAAAAGTATGTGTAAAATGATTCCTTTTCTTATTTTCTTTATTTCTGCAATTTCTTGGTAATTGATAAGTTATTCATACATATACGCGTTGCCAAAGAAGCTAACGTCGAAAGCCTTCCAAAATTGCCGTAATTTTTTGTGATATCAATATTAAATGATATCGCTTGCAAAATTTTGGTATCAGATTTAAAATTTTTAATTTTTGAATTTGTCATGAATATTCTATTGCGCATAATTAAGGAAAATTGACGCAAATTATAAAAAGCATTTCTTTTTTTTTTAAAGATGTATAATAAAATCATAAAATACACCCTATAAATTGGATGATTTTTGCTCCAATTAGAGTCATTGCCAAATAGCATCTTAATTAGCAGACGTGATTACCAACTTCCCGCAATTACGGAAAGCGTTTCCGTCATTTCTGTTGACAGTGACAGGAATTATTTGTAATATCTTAAGATTAGAGCAATATATTTAGATATTTGCTTTCTTTTAATTGACAGCATCATAGCTTTGTGGCTCATATTATAGGCTTCGTATTCTGTATGGTTTTTTTTATAAATAAAAATAGAAATATTGTATGTTTTGAAATTGTCGCACAGATAGCAAAATAACAATTTTAATGAAGAATCTTATAATTTGAAAACTGATTTACGAAAAAAAGACTTTGTTTAGTTTATGATAACCTACGTACTAGTATTTGGAAAATAATTTCAAATTAAATTACATCAATATGACAATTGCATCCTTTGCTTCTCATCAAAGTCCTTTCGTGGAACATGAGGTTCCTAAAAACCGATAGTAAGTATATAACTTTGTTATATATTTATAGATACATGATATTGTTATATATCTATAGATACATTTAGTATTTAATTCGCTTAATTTTAGTACTTAATTCTCTTGGAGAATCCTCACTAATGGCAATAATGCCTCTCATCAAAGACGTTTTGTGGAACATAAGGTACCTAAAAACAAATAGTTAATATATAACTTTGTTATATATCTATAGATACATACTACTGAAAATAATTTTTATTTGTCAATATAATTTTTTTTCATTACATGAAAAAATCAGATTAAATAGTCCTTTTTCAGTATATGTCATATTTTACATTTATTTTTTATCTAATAACCTTTTTAAATAGTTCTTTAAATAATCAGTAGTTTTTGTCTTCAATCTTAATATTTAGTACTTAATTCGCATGGTTAATAAAAAAACTATCACATAATCGTTATTTAAAAGCCAAATTGATTCAATATCAATATGGCTTTTTAAATAACGCTTTAATCCTTGAAGAAACTTCACTATTCAACCACAATTTATTCTCCAGACATATTCAAAGATCCAGTCTCCAAGTTTCAGTCTTCTTTTTTCCTTTTATTGCACACTATCTGATATATAACCACAAAAGATGTAGTCGGAACCTAGTAGTAGCTTGTTCATTTTAATAATGCCTCTAGATGTTTACCAAAGAATGTCTGCTCCTGATACATTTCGCGTACCTTACTAAAGACGTAAAAGGGAACCATAAAGAACATTTTCAGGATGTATCTTGACTGCGGTATGCGCAACCAGGAAAAATATCGTCTTCTGACTCTTAAAAGTTTGCCTTGGTTTTTGTTCCTAACGTTTTTTGCCACGCAAGACAGCACCTGCAAACGATCTTTTTCGGGTGATTTTAGGAGAATGTGTAACTGTAACCGCGTCCTGTAGGCCATAAATTATTAAGATGGAGGCCCAACGTTTCATAATCGGTACTAAAAAGGGGGCAGTAAAAGGCATAAACGCGTGTTTATTTTTGGGTTACCTTTTGCTTCGAAATCGATGGGCCAGATTTGAATTGTAGGTGGATTTGTGTTCGGTTAGAATGTTAAATAGCAAATTGCCCGGTTCTTTTTTCGATGCTTTGCGGGTAACATGAGTCGGAGACATTCAGAAAGATTTATGGTGTAATAGATTCATTTTGCTCTTTCTGTTCGAAGTGCAA